TATGATATCTTTCTATAACATCAAGAAATGGCTAGATATTCTAGTCTTCTCGGATAGAGTCGAATAAATGGAGGTCCCGTCTCCTGCAGGGTTAGGGGCAGGAGACGTTAATTTCCCACGCACGAGATTACTGTGTGACGAATGTCCTCCCCTGAGGTGGGATGGGAGGGTAACAGGACCCCCGTTGATAGCAGTGTTTACTACACTGAAGGAACTATCCTGTATAAATAAAGATGTCTACTCTGTCTACTCATGTAATCTCTCTAACCAGTCACTATCTTCTTTGAGACAGCTATTCCAAAAAGAACTACAATAAGTAAAGTGAGGCATGATCAATGCCCTATATATACGTATCTTTGACGAAAACGAAAGAATGTGTTTGAATCGATTAAGTACATCAATTTGTTTACCTACTTTCTTAATTAACCTAGATGTATGACTCGTAAAATTTAACTTATTGTCAATTACAACCCCTAAGAGTTCCACATTATCTGTCGCTTTGACTTGGAAACCATCAATATCCAATTCTACTAGATTACTTTTTCGCTTGGGCAAAACTAGAAGTTTACATTTGTCCAAGTTTAGGGTCAGACCACAGTCACGAAACCATTTGGAGGTGACTCTTAAGTTCCGGATGAGGGCAGCCTGAACCACGCTTGGAGCTATATCACTTGAAGTTAGTTGGTTGTCATCTGCATAATTCGAGAGTTTGACCTCTCTAACAAAGTAAAATAAGTCATTTAAAAACATATTAAAGAACAAGGGGCCTAATACAGACCCCTGTGGAACTCCTCTGTGAATCTTGACAATGTCAGAATTGGCATTGGCCACTTTTACCGGCTGTCTCCGTCCTTCAGCTTGTCCATCAACAGGTTGTGAGGGATGAGATCAAAGGCTTTACTTAAATCCAACAACACTGAACCAACAGTCTTTCCTTTGTCCAAGCCTTGCCTCCATGATTCGATAAGATGGAGAAGCACTGCCTCACAGCTACAACCTCTTCGATAGGCTGAGAGAAACGGTGATAAAATTGCTGCAAAGTGCTCCACTAGTTGACGATTGACACATTTTTCAAAGATCTTATCTAAATTAATCAATATAGATACCGATCTACAGTTACATATGTTCGTAGGGTCATCCTTCTTGAATACAGGACAGACTTCTGCTAACTTCCAGTCACTCGGGAAACATTCAGATACAACAGAAAAGTTGAATAGGTTAGCAAGAGGTAAAGCTAACTCCTTTGAACACTCCCGTAAGATTTTCGCAGGAATCCCGTCATGACCAGTGGCCTTATTTGGTTCAAGTTTACCTACAACCTGTTGTACTTCTGCAGGACTGATTAGCTGAAAGTTAAAGCTCTTTATATTAGGACAATTATTTCGTATTGCAGAAATGCTTGGATGACTGTCAGAACAATAGGAACCTCCCATTATTGCATAATCAGCACTATCGTTTTGAATTTTAGTAAAATGGTCGTTAAACCTCGTAGCTATGACGTTATTGTCAGTAATAAGTTCAGTATCCTCTTTAAGAGTTATGGTATTTCAAACAACAAATATATATGAAATACATATATATGAACTGCGGTTATGAAACGTATATGTGCACGATCCTTCGCAGTAAAGCACTATTTAAGCAATAGTGAAAATCAGA